TTGAGCCCAGGAGGTCGAAACTGCAGTGAGCTATGACTGACACTGCATTCCAGCCCAGGAAACAGAGCAAGACCTTATAACAAGGGGAATCTGGACACAGAGAGACACAGGAGCATGCTTTAACAGGAAGAGGACCTTCTGATGAGGCAGCAAGAAAGTGGCCATTAGCAAGCCAAGGAGAGGGGCCTCAGGAGAAACGAAGGCTGCCAGTGACTTGACCTTGGACGTCCGTGCTCCAGAACTAGGAGAAAATAAATTTCTGATGTTTAAGCCTCCCAGTCTGTGATATTTTCTTATGGTAACCCTGGTAAACTAACAGAACTCCCAAAATAGAAAACAGTAACTAATATTTTAAGTGCTTAACATACTCATTTAATCCTTTCTACCACCTTATATAGTAAACACAATAATCATCCCTGTTTTACAGAGAAGTAACTTGTCAAAGATCATAAAGGTATTCAGATGCAGTCCAGTAATGTAACTATATTGTTCGACTCTGAAGTCCCTATGTTAATTCCTAGGTTACATTCGTTTTTGTTTGTTTGTTTGTTTGTTTTTTTCTCTTGAGACGGAGTCTTGCTCTGTCGCCTAGGCTGGAGTGCAGTGGCCGGAACTCAGCTCACTGCAAGCTCCGCCTCCCGGGTCTACGCCATTCTCCTGCCTCAACCTCCGGAGTAGCTGGGACTACAGGCGCCCGCCACCTCGCCCGGCTAGTTTTTTTTGTGTGTTTTTTTTTTAGTAGAGATGGGGTTTCACTGTGTTAGCCAGGATGGTCTCTATCTCCTGACCTCGTGATCCGCCCATCTTGGCCTCCCAAAGTGCTGGGATTACAGGCTTGAGCCACCACGCCCGGCCCCTACGTTACATTCTTTACAGTTTCTTTTAGCAAGTAGTTGGCTAGCAGAGGGCAATGGTTCTGCAGACATGGCCAGGAAAGTTTTTGGATATGAACACTAAGAAAAAGAAAACTCCAGAGCATGGGGCATTGTCAAAAGAGTAAGACTAAAAGGACCTCTAGCATGAAGGGTGTGGGTGAGGGTAGGTACCCATAGAGCACTTATCCTCTGGGTAAAGTGTCAGCAATAGGGAAGATGTTGTTTGTGCTTCACACTCTAACTAGTTATGAATGTTTCCCACTACAGCGCCAGATCCTAAAGTCCTGCAGCAAGGACGACGTCTCATTTTCATTATCCTGTATGGTATGGGACATTGAAGAGACCATGAATGTGTGTTGAGTTAAATGGAAAGGACTGACAGATCTTTCAAAATGATCTTGTCCTACTTTACGTTGTTTTCCTTAAAACTAGTCCCGCTCTCATCTTACACCTCTAATGGTGGAAAATAAATTGCAGTCTCACATACTAATTCCGCAGCTCTCTGTTTTATTTATTAATGCTAATCAAATATGCTAAATATGCCAAATGTGCCTGCTGCACATAAAATGTGAGCCAGCAGTAGATTTTTGGTACCATATTTTCTCTGTCCCTTTAATAGCTTTATTCTCCTCCAGAGCGTTATTTTATCTCCTGTGTCTTGCATTTTCCTGCTCCCTTTTGCTCTGTGCGGTTGTCTTCCTGTCTTTTTCTTCCATTTTCTCTGATTTACTCCCTTTTGAGGGGGCTGTCACTGGCTCAGCATCTAGTGATTGATAATAACGTCTTGTTCTCACACTGTAATTGCTGTGTCAAGACGGCAGGCGCAGTAGGCTGCCACGATTTTACCACTGACTAAAGAGCAGATTTGCTGCATGCTGATTAATTGGAGGGGTGCCTCAAATGAGGAAGTAACTCTCTCTCCCCAAATGCCTCCTTTCTTCATGTAAAGACAGACTCACTAACCATACACTACAGCCCTCATCCGCAGTGGTCAGAGCAATATATCTTTCAATATATTATTAATTGGTTTTCAGGAATTTTCAAGATAATGCTCATTTAGCTTTCCCCAAGTTCTTTTAAATAATTGCAAGGCAGTACTTCTATTTTTCCTTACAGATAAGGAAACTAGGTCAAAAAGACTTCAATTATCTTTCCTGTCCTCACTGTGAGGAGTCGTCAGTGATGACAGAAGTAGAATTGCAGGCTATTTTTCCTCTAAACTAATTTTCAGATGATACAGTCCCACCCCAAACACATGCAAACACAGAGTTCATCTAAAAACAAAGAGAGAGCAATAATGTATCAATAAAGTTTGTCAATAAAGATTCTTAGTGTGAAGTTTTGTTGGGCTAATGCATACATTCCATTCCATTTGACAGCGAGTCCCTCAGAGAGATATTTTTGAGTGAAGCAATTGCCTTTGCAGCCCTCAACAGCAGATGCCTCACTTGTAAACATGAAACATGGGATTGTAACTGGCATCACGTTTTACTTATAGTTTGAGCTAAAGTTTGAACATTCTTTGATATAATTTGAATTATTGGTAGGCAAACTATTTATATATGTATTTTTCACGTGTGTGTGTGTAAAGACAGATAGAGAGAGAGATAGAGAGTCTTGCTCTATTGCCTAGGCTGGAGTGCCGTGATGTGATCATAGCTCACTGCAGCCTCAAACTCCTCGGCTTAAGCCACTCTTCCACCTCAGGCTACCAAGTATCTGAGAATACAGGCATGTACCTCCATGCAAGACTAATTTAAAATACAAATTCTGTTTTTGAGACAGTGTCTTGTTATGGTGCCCAGGATGGTCTCAAACTCCTGGCCTTCTGCAATCCTCGTGCCTCAGCCTCCCAAGTAGCTGGGATTACAGATGCAACCACTACACCCAGCCAGATTATATATTTTAACATAAACTTCATTGTTTCTAACTATACATAAAAATATGAACAGGACCAGAATGTTGTATAGTCTTGACATGTGACAAGGAAGATAATAGTAGAATGAAATCATGGACTAATTACCTCTGAAGTTATGGGTAAACAATGTTGAGGCCAGAAACTTGTTCTGAAGGCTTTTCCCATAGAGACAACCAAGTTTCTAGAACTTCCCTCTAAGAAACCTGGATGAGTTGTAATTATATGTAGAAGCAGTATATTAAATGATGCTGGGAAACAACCATTGAAAGGGAGTTCTGGTTCCTAATTTTTGTAAAAAGTGTAATGAATTTAAGAATGCATACTTTAAAATGTGGAGAGCATCAGTAAAGTCATCTGAGGTCTTCTAAACTCACCTGTGGATTTTCACAACATGCTGGGGCATATATTAACTTTCTAGGTGAAGAGATTTGAGCATAAAGTAAAATCTGAGGACACTAGAGCTTAACTGAGCTAACAAACACACAATTAACCGCAGCACTGCTAGATCTAGTCTGTGACTTAGCATTTTCTCTTTAATGTTTTATCAAATATCCTGGCCATCTTCCTGAGGAAAATGGAGCTTGAATCTGATTTTAATCAATAGTGAAGGGTTTGAATACTTCTAAATTTTCCAGGTGGAATGAAAGTGTGTGATCTTTAAATGGAACTAAGGGCTCTCGTTGTCATCTTCAACTTCAAGAGAGTTTAATTTTAGGGGTTAGTATCACAAAGGATTGACAAGTCACACACTGAAGTGGTAATGGTCCTTAGAGAGGAGAACAAGAACATTGGTCTTCTCAAGGTGCTAAAGTGATGATGAGAGGCTTAAGTGTCCTTATATGTCATTAATGTGAAAAGCAAAGTATGTTCAAGTTGAATTTGCAGTGTCCTTACCATGACATGTTTATAGCCTCTTACAGATTAATAGCATGGCTGCCAAAATTGCCTTGGTGCCTACGCATTAAAGGTTCACAAATGAAACAGGTTTTTTTAATTTAACCTCTGAGAATATTTATTTGTTCCCCTTCCCTATTTATTAGCTTTTTTACTGAATTGAGTAATTAGAACATTTTCTTTTGCTGAAAAATGGCAAGCGGTAAGGTAATTTTTCCTTTCTCCTTCGTAGTAAACAGAAAATTGATTTTAAAAAGAGGTACTTCCACACATTAAAAATGGCACTAGAAAGACACATAGTGCTAAGCCACTTTAGAATGCAGATTGCTTAAGTCAACCACACTTTCAAGTTGCTGATCTCTTCGCAAAATGTGCAGTGCATATGTAGTTCAGCGTCAACTACAGGACTGTGTTTACTTTACAGGATAGTGCTGACCAATAAGCAAATCATTTTATTAAAAAACACCCCAACTAGTCAATAAGTAACATGTTTACATGTGTTAGTTATGTTTAACATGTATTAGTCAGTTCTCACACTAATAAAGACATACCTGAGACTGGGTATTCATAAAGGAAAGAGTTTTAATTGACACACAGTCAAGCATGGCTGGAGAGGCCTCAGGAAACTCACAATCATGGCATAAGGGGAAGCAAACACGTCCTCTCATACAAGGCAGCAACAAAGAGAATCGCCCAGGAAAAGGGGGAAAAGCCCCTTATAAAACCATCAGATCTTGTGAGACTTACTCACTATCACGAGAACAGCATGAGGGTAACCGCCCCTGTGATTCAATTACCTCCCACTGGGTCCCTCTCACAACATGCGGGGATTACATGAACTACATTTCAAGATGAGATTTGGGTGGGGAACAGTCAAATCATGTCAGCATGTACTTATCTTTCTGAGTGATACCTTCTGCAATATGTGATAATAGTAGGAGGTGAAAGTCACTTACTCATTTTTAATTCTCTTTCTTGCACACAGAAGGATTGCTTAGATCTTGCCTGATTGTTTTTAGGTCTATTTTTAATATCTAATGCATGAGGTGGGACTAATTGATATGATCATAATTCTAGCTCTCTTCAATTGTTGAGTGACTCAGGGAAAGTTATGTTCTCTGATTTATAAATTCTCTGTGCAAAGAGAAGGTATCAAGTGTAATGGACCTACTTTACAAGAATTTTGAGAAATGCAACTTTGAAAATCAAACAGAAAATGTTCCCAAACTCAAAGTGCTATATAAATATTTAATTATGTTAGCACTGATTAAAATGCCCAGTAGAGATATATTAATCTTGTTTTAGACCATCTATTTTTTTTTTTTTTGCAAGAAATTCCAGATAGACATTAAGCATCACTCTTGATTAAACATTTATACAAGTAAGTGCCTTGGTACTGCTGTTTTTGATTCATGTCTAAATAGCCTAGGGCCTAGGCACTTGTGGTTAAGTTTAATTTTCTGCAAGGATACTTTGTATCTTACATTGGAATGGTTCTTTAGGGAAACGTAAGCTCCTTTTGAGAGTAGTTTGAGAACAGTCACCGATGTCCTGGGGAAGTCGCTGCCAGACGTTTTGTTTCATGTCCCTGATATTTACTTCCTGTCCTTACTTCATGTCCCTGATATTTACTTCCCTGATGTTTACTTCGTAAACAAGCTAACAAATGAGGGTTGAAGAGTTTACTGAGGGGGAAGCAATGCTTGTAGTGAAGGGAGAACGGGGTGAGATTGGGCCCTGCACTGCTGAGGGACAGAGGAGAGGGTCTCTGCTCAAGAGACTGTGGGGGGCTTTAGGTAGAATTTGCATCTCGAGGGGTGAGCTCTCTGAGCCTGCCAGGCAGGAAGTATTTCCAGAGAAATAAAATGCATCTGTCCAATCCACACCATCTCACCAGAGGACCCTCTAATAATGGCTATCTGACTATAAATACTTTTTGTTAAGCTAAGGAAACCACTGAAGTTCATTTGAAATGAAATGTCTATGTTTTTATGTTTTTTTTTAGTAATTTACTAAACATCTTGAACCTTGTGGGCTGCCAACATGGTATGTTGAGATTTTTTTCTGTAATCACTTATTTTGACTATTAATTTTTATCTTTCCTTGTTTAATTACCTGCATTCTAATTCAGTCTAGCCTGTCCACTCTCTCCCAGTGTTGGGCAGCCCTTAACCGCAGGGACTAGGAGCAGAGAAAGAGCAAGATAAACCCTTTTTTACCACTCTTCATTCTGACATTTCTGCTTCTTTGGGATTGGGGTAGGGGAAGAAGACTTTAGGGAAGAAGTAGAATTATTTTTACAAGTGCTATTATAGGGCATGTTTGATTTTGTATTTTGCCCCATGCGGTAAGTTCTCAAATGTGGACTTTGTTGTCAAGCTCAAGTGGGAGGCCACTCGGTTAGTGTCTGATACATCAGATACATCAGATATCCACTGGCTTGACTTCCTTGTGCCTGGTCCAGCAATGCATACCCCAAAGTCTCTTGCTGCTTGGGTTACTGTGGCTGGCAGGAAGCCTCCTTGGGTCCTGCCAAGACAACTCCAGCTCAGTTGCCTTGACAGGGCTCTGCCTGTCCCCGGGGAGTATGATGTATCCTTGTCCTCCCAATGGTGGGGATGCTTATTACCTGATTGACTGCTGACTCCTCTCTAGTTTTGTTCTACCCTGCTCTAATAACCACAGATGGCACATCAGTAAGTCCACTGTATGGACTCTAATAGAATAAAATGCCAGTTCCCTAATATCTACAATTGGTGCTCTCTGGGAGCTATCATTAGTTGAATTGGGAGAGGTGGACCAAACTCAGAACATTCTCAGTCATCACTCACTATTCCCAGGTACCCCTCCAGTCCATCCTCTTCTGCTTATGATGACTCTTAGGACACAGGAGTGGAAGTTCTGCCACCAGTCTCTTAATGAGTCCCACAGAGGTTTCTCGGGGGGGCTAGGAGAACAGTCTTCTCAAAGCACTGAACTAATGATAAGCGGCATCTCACCTTTGCTTAAAAAACAGTATTTTATTATGTGTGTTCTTCCTATTTGAAAAGCTTTAACTCTGAATTTCTTTCTTAATATCAACAACAAAACCTTGCTCCTTTTAGGCTTACAAAAGACTACTTAATCTTATGGGTTCTCAAACTTTCTATGAGAAACATCATTCCCAACTTCTCTTCCACAGTCCTAAAACAGGCAGGGCTGTCGAAAGCATTAAATGCTTTGACACTAAACTCCTTACACATAGTAAGGGCTCAATAATTAGTTCTTAAGCACTTACCATATAGACATAATTCTAGTACAATGTGGTACGTTGTACACAACATTTTTGTATTGGAATTACTTGCTTATGTGTGTCTCCCATTTCACGGTATGTGCCTCCAGGAAGTAACTGTTATTGCTATGCATGGAATTTTGCATGTAACAATTACTTTCACAACATTCTGCCATGATTCTTGATATCAAAGCAGTTATTAACATTGTTATCTCTGTTGTTCTCTCCCCACTATATACTGATCAGTGAAAAAATGATTTAAGAAACGGGGATTTTAAAGACCAGATGGTATGGTTGATCAGCACCCTCAATTATCAATTAATTATATATTATAGTACATCATCCTGAAGACTTTCAGCATTTCCTAGATAGGATATTTCTTACTTGGAACCTTGATACACCTTTGACTTTCAAATCTATGACATAGGGACAATTTTATCTATTATGCTATCTTAAAATTATGATTTTGGTATTTAATAACTAAATTACCTAGGGTGGGTATACCTTGCACCACTTTGTTCAATTAGACATGAAGAAGAAAACTTACAACATAGAAATGCTCTAAAATTTTTGTGTTCATTTGAAAAATAAAATACCAACTCTGCATTTGGTTAATGTTCATTTTATAAAATACCTTAAAAGAACAGATAAAATAGTTGAGGTTACATAATAACCAGAATTGAAAAGGAATGAAGAAAATATAAATTAATGGAACATGTGACTATTTTGCCACATTACACAAGTTTTAAAAAGGCATTTAAAAAAACAATAAAATAGTAATTGGGGAAAAAACCCTTCACTCTATCGGTGTCTTTGTCTGGAAAACTTTCCCAGAATCACTAAAATTCCAGGTCAACAGGCAGTACCTGAATTATTCAAATATACTGTAATTTGCTTTCAAATCTGTTAGCTGAAGAGAAACTAACATTTTAACCAAGTTAATTCAGTGCAAATCAAAGCTTCAAGTTGAAAATCTGAGATAAAAAAGTAACGTTCAAACTGTAGGAAATGTTTCTGGAACTGAAAAATAAAAAATTCACATTACGAACAAATCTTTGCAAGTGTTCTTGGTATATGAAATGCTGAGTTAACAAATGGGACCCTTTTAAGTTGCAATGAGGGCTCTATTATGAAGACTATTTGCAATGTGGGCAGAAGAGAAACGGAGAGGGAAGAGCTGAAGGTCATATTTGTGGAAGGAAATTCAAGTTAAGCAAAAACTGCTTTTATTCTAGAAAAATTTGGTAAGGATATATCATACGTTAGGAGAAAAAACAGATTATGGTGATAAATTTACTGGAATATAATTGAGGATAAGTCCTTCTACCTCCAGAACACGTTTGGGTTGGGTGAGAAGGGTTCACATTGGCCAGATATCAATAAATTAATTTGTCTTAATTTTATGAATTATATGAAATGCTGACTTAAAAAAATATTTGCGTTACCAAATCTTGAGAAATGGAAGGAATGTCTAACTTTTTGAATCACAGTGAAACAAAGTCTGGATCACTTCCAAACATCAACTATCAGTCGCTTTTACAATAAAAAAACATTTAATTATTTTCTCAAAAAAATTTTTTTTTTAGGTTTAATTTCATAGGTGATAGATAGCAATGGGTCTTTGTTGACAGTGTTTAATAGAAAGGTTTCCTCTTTTCATTCCATTCTGTATGAATTTTTGATTCATTCTTTTCAAATGACAATACTAATGGTTGCTATTGAGTACAAGATGCAGAGATTTGGTGGAGGCTGGTAAATTTTCTCTGCAAAATAGATATCCCTCCCACAAATTTCAGGTCCAGGTTTGCTATATCATCACCAGTCCTTCTTTTTTAATTCTCACTGGAAATTTTCAAATATTATTTATAAACGGAATGAGAATGTGCTGTTTTCTAACATTCTTATTTTACATCATTCTCTATTAGGAATGTTATAACAATGTTATCACAATGAAGTGGCAACTTTTGGCTTTTAGATTGTACCTATCAGCAGCAATCATAAAAAGGCCAAAATAAACTGTGCTACTCCAAGGTGACATCTGAAACTGTTAAAACAAGTGAAAAATCACAATGACAAAACAGGGGTTCATAAAGCAAAAGAAAACGTGCCAATACAATTTTAAAAGTGTAAAAAACTTCGCTCATATACCTACTTCTGGGAAGAACATCTAAGGCAGATGAAAAATTCCCCTCCAGGGACATAACCAGCTCAGAACCATCTGAAAAAATTCATACAAAAGCAGAAATTACCCAAGGCCTGTGAGTTCTCATCTCATACCATGAAAGCAAGACTGTCAAAAAAAAAAAAAAAAAAAAAGGGCACATGTCACTTTGCAAAGGAATGCATTAACTCCTCTCCCAGGGTCAACTTAGTCTACATGTCCTTTGTATAACATTAATTTCCACCAGATCTACTAGATGTTCAGTCATGTCCTTCCAAGTCCTGAAGGCAGGCTCACTATCTGATGCATCTTTGTATATCACAGTGGGTGTGAAGTGAAAAGGGGAGACACAGAAATATGCACAAACCCACAATTAGTCCGTATTTAGAAAACTTTCTGTGGCTTCAAGCACTTACACAGAGATGATTTTATCTCATTTCTCCATTAATTTCTCATTAGAAATGAGTAACAGCTAATTCTAAATTCTAAAGCTTTGGGGGAAACTTTCCAGGCTTTGTCTTATCAGACACTTTGTCATAAAAAATACAGAAAAACAAAAATAAAACATTACGCTGGAATCAGCTTTTGAGAGTTTGTGCTTTAAAAACACAGTGCCTAATAGCACCTAGCACATCATAGATGCTCAATAAATAGTTGTAGATTTATTAAGAGTAATAACATGGTGTCTGACGAACCAACCACCATTTTGTAAAAAAGGTAAAACTGTATTAATTTCTTTCACCTGATTTGACAGAGCAGTGTGGAGCAATGAATGAGAGAATCTGCAAATTAAATATGAACTCTAATTTGATTGCAGAGAGGAAATTACTGAGAACTTTGCAAAAAACATCGCCACAGTAGTAGCCTTGACACTTAACAGTGCATCAAAGAATTAATGTTTCCACTGCAGTATGAACTGGTTCCCATAGCTCTCAGGAGCTAGAATGTAATCACTCAAATGGGAAATGAACTCTAATTCCACTTCAGAAAAGGTATGCCCATAATTTTATCTGAGAATTATTAATATATTTCAGGGAGAGTGCCCTCTCATTCAGCATCCCTCAAAGTAATGTAGGCATAAGTATCAGAGGGCCTTGTTATATAACTTCAGTACAGCATTGTCTTATACAAGTGTTACATCTTCCACATCTGTAGTAGCTGCTTTCTAGTATTGTAGATTTTTACAGTTGTGAAACCCTGGGATGACAGACATGAGAATATGGAGGATTAAAGGTCACAAAGCTTAAACTAAAACGGGAAGCTCCTCGATGTTATGTGAAAACCCCTTACAAAAGGCAGTTTATTGACAAATAAATGCTCTATACATTCAGGTTTTCTCCATCTCTCAATAGTGATGGTTTCCAAAGAAGAAACTCAGTAGTGAAGAACACAGAATTTTTTTTGTTTTGTTTTTTTGCATTAGTTTGATCAGTTGAAAATCAGAACCTTTAAAGCATCTTGTGAATGGGAGAAATGGAACTGGACCTGGGCAGGGCCTGGGGATGGTAGAGAGCCAAATGAATAAATGATTTAACTGTTGATGTGGACAGCAAGAGAGCTGGTGGGAAATGTTACAGCAGACCTGACCACGCTACAAAGGGTCTGTGAAGAACACAGTACAGGTATCAAAAACCCAAAACAAAACTAAACTAAAAACAAGAACAAACCGCAACTTTGCCAAATTGTAAACAAGGAAAAGCATTTCACAGGTTCAAAGTTCAAGGGAAGTAAACGTCTTTAAATTATTTTTGTCAGTTCAACCCTGATTTAAAAATATGGCTAGCAAAAACAAGGAAGCCACAGCAGTCGACATCCTGAGCAAGCATCGGTCTCCTCTGAGAAGCTGCGCTCCCAAGCCGCTTCTCCAGCTGCTACACGAGGAGGAGACACTTCTCGCTTGAATTCCGTCTCAGTTCTCTCATTTCCACACTCCTGGAATATGTCGATTGCTTTCCATTTTGGTGTCTACAGTTCTGGTTGCTATAGATTTAGACGTGGGGATACTGGAGGAGGGAAGGCAAATTCTCGGAGGATGCTCCGGGCAACTTCGACATTATTCTGGGCTATCTCTAAGGCTCTCTTCACCTCTTCAAAGGCATAACCCTCTCCCATGAGTTTGGCAATTTTTGCATCGACATTTTCTAATGCCGCCTCAGGCCCATGGGGTTTTCTGTGGTGAATTTCTGGTGCAGTCCTGCGGGGTCGTGGTTTAGGGGGTCTAGCTGGTGCTTGTGAACCATCTGTGCAGATTTTTAAAGAGAGATACCATTTAGACAGTGAGATAAAAATGAGGGCAAGACAACATAACAGCATTATCTCATTTCCTATGGAAATATTATTTCTTGTTTTCTTTACAAATAAAACTTTCTTTTTCAATTTTTCCATACTATTGTGGGATAGGCAGTATTATCCTCATTTTGAACAACAGAAAATTAAGGTACAGTGTGTTGGTAGTTCCACTGAGAAATTTACACATTTCCTTCTCTATTCCACATTTTATTCTTCAGGCCATATGTAGTCAGAGAGATAGAGAAAGAAAAAAATAATCAAAATAACTATCTAAAAAGGGAAGGCTTTCACTTTGTTTAGCAATATAGTTCACGTTCTACTACAGCACAGGCTCTGGTTGATGGTTCTCCAGAAGAACAATCTTGGGAGGTTTCTATGAGAGGAAACTATGTTTACAAGCTCACAGATATCCATGGCAGACCATTCCCACAGGTCCTGAGTCCCAGCCATATCACAGCAGAACTGCTCTAAAACAGATGCTCTGTAGCATCTTCCTAGCTGATTTTTCAAGTTAATAATCTGTGCCTTACTGATGCTAGGAGGGAAAAAAAAACAACAACAAAATAGTAAATGCTTTGACTCTACTGTAGTCAACAGGTTGAACAGAAGGAAACTCAGTGCTTTGTTCCAACACTTTATACAGATTGCAATGTAAGTTGTTTTGCTCAAAAACGAGCAAACCTAGAACACATATTAGGAGTAGAGAATTGGGTTCTAGATCAGTCCCTTGGTGATAATACAGCCTCCAGTTTAAACTAATGACACTGGTACCCATGAATGGACAGTAACCTTAAGGAAAAAGAAAAGGTCCCAGGTCACTGGCTAGCTAACTTGACAGGGCACTTTCATCATGTATTTCCTGGTTAGGTATAGCACTTTATCTCAAAAGCCTAGACAAAAAATATACACACACATTATACATATGCATGTATACATTTTTTTTTTTTTTTTTTTTTTTGAGATGGAGTTTTGCTCTTGTTGCCCAGGCTGGGGTGCAATGGCACAGTCTTGGCTCACTGCAACCTCTACCTCACGAGTTCAAGCAATTCTTCTGCCTCAGACTGCCAAGTAGCTGGGATTACAGGCGTGCGCCAGCAGGCCTGGTTAATTTTGTATTTTTTTTAGTAGAGACAGGGTTTCACCATATTGATCAGACTGGTCTTGAACTCCTGACCTCAAGTGATCCACCCACCTTGGCCTTCCAAAGTGCTGGGATTAAAGGAATGAGCCACTGTGCTTGGTCCAGATATACATTTTAAAATGTCAGCTTTATGTCATGAAATACACTTATGGATTGAAAGACTATCTAGACAACAATATTTAACACCTTTCTCCTAGACCACTGACAAATGCCAAACAACAAACTCAAGGACACAGTTAAGTGAATGGTGATCTGAGGTTAAAGGCCAAATGTCTCGTACTTAATGTTCCCATCTTGTCTCCCCACTTCTGCTGCCTCAGCAACTTTCCCAATGGCTTCAGGAGATACTGTAAGCGGATATTTTCAATAATAATAAGTTTAAATAACAAAAGCTAATCTAATGTATTATTTAATATTTTTCCTTTCTAAATCAAAAGACGTATATTTTTCCATGAGAAGGTAACTTGTAAAAATATCATCCTATATACAATTCTAGCAATATCAATATAACATATATAAAACAAAGCCTCTAGGATAAAAGCATTGTTTCCACATCAAATAGTATGTCTTTTTTTTTTTTTAATGAGATGAAGTCTCATTATGTTGACTAGGCTGGTCTCGAACTCCTGTCCTCAAGCAATCCTTCCATCTTGGCCTCCCAAAGTGCTAAAATTATAGGCGTGAGCCACCACGCCCGGCCATGATGACAGTCTTATTTTAAATTATTCCTTTTTTGTAACAAAATGTCCAGTTTTAAAAAATATTATAGCTGTAGACAATGTATATTAAAGTATGCCCATATGTAAGAACATATAATTTCTGGTCCTTGCTAATATCTATACTGTTTCTTGGATCTGTAATTAAACATCTCAAACTATTATCGTCTGCTAAATTGCATCTCTTAGTATGTTTTGTAGTTCCATTTATTTTCCTATTAAGTATTTTCATTATATCATAAAGGAATGGACAATAAATTGTGTTTTGCTTTTAATCATTTTCAAAAACTATTAGAAATTATTGAAAGCTTTCCTTTAATCAATTACCAAAAAATTCATACATTTAAATCATGTCTCCTGAGACACTTTTAGATGAGAAAAGTACCTAGACTTTGATACAAAAGTACCTAGACTTTGAAAACAATTAACTTGTTTTCCACAGGTAATTTTCTAAGAGATTTTTAATAGTTATTTTGTCTGTCCAGGATACTGAGATGTGCACACGAATGCCAGGCATGTTTGAAACGAACAGCTGTGTATACAAGTGGGATGAATAATAGTATTCATGACAGCCAGGAATGCCTCTAATAAGTAGTATAATTGGCAATTAAATCTTAAATCTCAGTTTGGTCACTAAGATCTTGGGCTAAGCAATTTACTTTCACAATTCTCATTCTCCAAATCTACTTTTACATATCTGTGTTTAGAGGTATTATTTATCCCTTTTCAATCAGGTAGTATGAGAATTAATGTAATATACAGTATATGGACTGAGGAGACCATTAAAAAGAAAGAACAATGAATTAATGTTTATAATGATAAGTGCTATACTCAAATGCTATAGACCAGTAATTACTATAAATTAACAGGAATGCCAGAGAAGTATGAAAGAAGTTTTGTTGTGAGTATCTGATTCTACAGAAAGCCTTCTAGAAGAATATTAAAAAGCAAGATCTAGTGTAACCTGAACTACTAGTTGTTAAAAAGGGGATCATTTCCGCATTGACCATAAAAGCAAATTGCTTAGAACCAATCACTCTGTCTCTTGCCAAAGCTCAGACGCAGCCTTCACTTTCTCCATTTTTCTTTTTCACAGTATCTAGAAGTGGATTACACCAGGTCCTCATTTACTTTAGCACTTTCAAATGTGTAGGATAGTGGAAGGAAGCAATGAAATGAAGATGAAACTATCTTCTGTTCCCCTAAAAGTTATTATACTGCAGTTTGGGAGCACACTGAAATAACTATAAATTGTATCAACCCTATGAAATTTCTGTACCTGAATATACACCATCCTTAAAAATAGTTATTTTGGAAGAACATGTGTTTGCTCTAGTGCTAACATCCATGTTCATGGTATTTTTGAACTCTTACGACTAATTACAGCAGTATCAAAATAAGTACAAGAATGTGAGCCACAGGATGTAAGTAGTACATCTTCTGGGGTACCAATTTTATTAAAGGATATAAGGTCATTAATATTTTAAAGCACTGAAATGAATACAGATACACTAAGGAGTAAAATACAAAGTTTGCACAAATTTTTGAGATAAAACAGAAACAATGTCTTGCACTAAAAAACTAAATATTGACCTCTTCTACCTAATGCCCCAGTCCTTTGTTGTTCACTGTAAATTCTTCTTTGAGAAAGAAAGATTTGAGAAGCCCTGGTTTCGGAGTAAATTTTGATTCAGCTTTCCTTTTCTGAGCGTATGAAAGAACAGAGTGATGTGGTAGATCATCAATAAGACAGTTACTACACCACTGTTACGACTTGAGACCGTCACTGCAACAGTTACTACTGTTACTACTTGAGACCATCATTAGGAGAGTTACTACTGTTACTACTTGAGACCTTCACTACACAGTTAACTGCTGTTACTACTTGGAGACCTTCATTACAACAGTTACTACCGTTACTGTATGAGACTATCATTAGGACAGTTACTACTGTTACTGCCTGAGTCCCTCATTACAAGACTGAACAAAGGGACAGACACAGAAATGATAACAACAACAACAAAAAAAAACAAAAGAAACTGTTTTAAGGAAAGGGTTGGGGAAGAAGAAGAGAGCTCCCTGCTTCTAGTGAGCAAAGGCAGCACCCTGAGCTTCTACAGCCCTTTGTATTTATTGGGTAGAAAAAGCAGGGAGGGGGAGGAGGTAATGATTGGTCAGCTGCTTGACTGATCACAGGTTCACATTATTGTTAACAGGCTTCAGATGTGCCTAATCACAAGCAACACTTATGCCTGGGTCCTGACTGCCCTCAGCATCCCTTCTGGGCAGCAGACGCAGTTTGTCAGTTTCCCAACATTCTTTTAGGAGAACAGTTTGCTGTTTACTCGTATAGCCTCCAGTGGTATACTGAGTTGATCACCACCCTCATTCTTTCAGCCTCCAACAGAGTGACATACAGAACAATACTGGATGGCATGGGAATTAGCATAACATGGTTGGAATAATACCTAGAATGATTACTCGAGGTCATACATTCTAGGTGGGGGCAATCATTGGAACTTGTGGGATGAAAAAAAAAATTTATATGCTAATATGGTTTGTGGCCTTCCCAAGAGCCATAGTACATAGAGATATATCTCTATCTCTATGTCTACTAAGCACATCTGTGGTATTAAACTGTCATTTTTCCTGGGGACAGAAAGCTTATTAGGGAAAAAAAAAAAAAAAACAAAGCAGTGTCCAAAAGACCCATAGGCAGACCATAATTTTTAAAGTGAGACACACTGCTGTATATCTACATAACCTCTAATTAAAGAATTGAGAATAGTTCATTTCAGTGGCTGTCAATTATTTTGCCACAAAAAGCCTTTATTACTCCCCTCATCATATAAAGATTGGGTTGGGTTTTCTTTTTGTCTATATTTTGAAAGATGTGTCTAATAAGCAAATGCTATTGTATTGATGAATACATTTTCCCATTTTCTATTATACTGGATCATGTTCAACAATAAGTGTAACACTGAGCTTCTACATATCTAGACAATAGCAAAGGGATTTAACGTGAAAGTTTTCTTGTATATAAAGTTAGGGTTTCTGTTATGGTTTCAAAATGTTAAAAATGTATTTGATAGCA